GAGGGGGAGGGGGAGGAGGGTTTCGACGCAATGCAGAGCGGCGCCACTGAAGGAGCAGAAGTTCTTCATACACCACAAAACAAGAGTGTGCCAGCACTGGCGCAATCAGACTGCAAAGACAGACACATCTTCTGGTCTGGATTAAAATAAAACTATCATTGCATTTCAGTCTTTTATATAAAGGGTAAAGATTAGGCCAAAATCAAACAGCAGAGCTCCTAATGACTGACTGACAGAAATTAATCTTGCCTGTTAAGGAGAGTATGTAACAGGGATTACTCTCAGCAACTACCACAGTCAATATCTGTTTAAATGACTAAGTTACAAATATTTTTGTCCTGGCTAAGGTCAATTAGCTGTGGCGGCCATCTTGAATGAGATTAACTCCAAAAGTTAATCAGCTGTAAAGGCACATCGTAAGATTACTTTCTGAGAGTTTAATAAACATCCATTCACCGGTTCATGAGATATTTTGCTTACAGACGTACATGGTTGATGCCAACAGCTAATGTGGAAGTTTTTGACAAAAACATAGAACAATCTGTTCACACTCAGAGTATGTGTTGGGCATTAGTCTCGGCCACTGTCATGCAAAGTTTTAGCATGACATCTGTAAAACTGACAAAGTTGTAGTCATTTTTGTGTTTCTTAAGGTTTAGTTGTGGCAGCCATTTTGAATAAGGTTGGCTTCAAAAGTTAATCAGTTGCAGATATACATCCAATTACAACTTCCTAGGAGTTTATTCAAAACCCGTTCAGTGGTTCATGAGATATTTTGCTAACAGACACGGACTCAGGCAGCTACATGATCAACCGCCTTTCATGGTCCTGGATGAAATTTAAAAATACTCAGGCTGCAGATATTGTTACATTAGGTCCCTGAAGTCAAGCAGTGAGAAACAATTAACTTATCAAAGGATTGTAAGGTACTTTCAGCACCACGGATAGCAGAAATAATGCCTTCATCTGAGAAAACTTCAAAGCACTGAGTGTTGAATGACAGCTGAAATCTGCTGAAGAAGCTGAAACTGAGTTGATAAAGCTAAAATAAGCGGAATACAGCTAAACGTCCCGTGTAATATGGACAGATAGAGACAATCTAAGAAACAAAAAGTTCAGCGTTTCTGTTACTGGGATGTCAAGCTGGAGCAGAGATAAGGTTTCTGACTTGGTAGCATAATGGTTCAGTGGTTAGCACATTAGAAAAGGTCCTGGTTCAATTCCTGGTTCAGATTTTATTTCTGGGTGGAGTTTGCATGTTCTCCTTGTGCTTCTCCGGTTTCTTCCCACAGAACAAAAACATAGGCTCCCTCAGAAAAGAGATCAGATCTGTAGGATTTGCCTGGATCACCTGTGACTTTGACCTTTCACCCCATGATCTTGAAATTAATATGGATTATCTTTGACCCATGAGGTGTGCAGCGTATACTAAAGAGTTTAGAGCTCTGACAAGAAACTGTACAGACGGACAGATGATGGAGCCAAAACATAATACAGTATGCCTCCTCTCAGGATGGGTGTATAAAAAATCTTCTAATAATTGTTATAATTCATCAGTTCACAAGTTAACATAAAAATAGAAAAATAGATGTTTTATTACATTTTATATTACAATTACTGCAGGTCAGGCACATTAAGATGTCTGTCTTGTTTACAGCAGACTGCAACACATTCTGAACAACATTTGTAAAGAGAAAAAAAAAGAAAAGCATCAAGTAATAAACACTGAAAATTACAAAAATACTATAAATATATGTACACCAGGCTTTCTATACAAAAATAAGTTACAAAAACTACTCCAAAGAGTTTTGATGTTTTCTGTGTAAAGTTCCCATCAAAAAAGTTTCTGTTCTGTTATTTCACAGCAGAAAAAAAATAATGAGAAAATGTTCCAGGATATAAATATGTATAAATTTATATAAGGTGTTGTTGGAGAAGAAGAGGGCGCAAGATGAAACCAGTTAATTGTCCTCCTGCAAGTAAAGAGAAAAACAAATTAGAGTGTAAAAGAACAAACCTGGAAAATAAAAAATATATATGAGCAATCTCAGATTGTATCACAAGATGTCACTCTCCTCAGGTACAATATGTCAAATTTGAGCTCAGCATCTGTAAAACTGTCTGAACTGGAGCATTTCATTTTATGTTTGCTTAAAGCAGTTAACTGTGGTGGTCATCTTACATTGGATTGTCTATAAAAGTTAATAATTATAGATGTCTATCCTGTGATTACTTTAAAAATATATATTAAAATTTATCAAGTGTTTATTTAGATCCCCATCAATCTCTTCCTCAGCAGAGACTACACTTCCTGGGGTCCATCAATATTTTAATTTTTTTTGCTAAAAACAAGAAGTGTTGACTTTAACAAGTAAAGCTAGTTCTGAGCAAAGATCTGGTGTAATAAGGAGCTTGTGCTGCAAGTTACTCTCAGCTGCAAACACACAAAATTTTAGCACAATATCAACTAAATTAACTGAACTGTAGTCGTTTTGTGTTTTCTGAAGAAAAACAACTGTGGTAGCCATATTTAATTGAGCTGGCTCCAAACATTTATGAGTCGTGATCATTTCTTAAATGTTTCTGACCAATGCTTCAAGTGGTTCTTGGGACATTTTATTTTGCTAACAGACAGGTAATTTATTACTTTTTGCCATTTGTGAGTGTACAGATTACGAGTTAAGGATCAGTCTCGGCTACTGCCACATCAAAAATGAGCTGAATATGTATTAAGTTGACAAACTTTTGGTCACTTTGTATTTTTAAGCTTTAGTTGTGGCAGTCTTCTTGAATCAAGTTGCATTGAAGAGACGGGGGCAGAAACATTATGTGTGGGAACTTTGTTAATAGAACTGCTGGTTTATAGGGTTTCAATCACTAAACAGTGTTTAAATTTTTTTTCTTTTGCATGGATATCAGTCATCCACACAGTGGCGCTTGGGTTTCATGTATGCAGCTCTGCTCATTGCATCAAGCTGTCTGAGACATTTCCTGTCTCGTGAGGAAAAGATATCCTCAGAGTTACTGAAGAACTTGATCATAGGAGGAACTTTTTCTTTTTTAACCATGTATGGGTTGAATTTACACTATCTTGAGCATAAACCTTCCTGGTAAATCCAACAGAAGGAGACATTCTCCATGAAAAATTACACACAACCTGACAAAATATTCCATTTGGGATGTGCGGCAGAACTCTCCTTTCCTAGTTTGTAATACTGAAAAAGTGTTCAGTCTTAATTTAAAATGAATTCAAATTCAAGTTCAGAATAAATTTAATCACCATTGTGATTTAGGGGCCTGGCCATTTCATTGGTCAGTCAACGCCTTAAAACGACACGCCTGATATTCAGCACCGTAAAACGACACCCAGAAAGCTGAAATGCGTGGACATGACATGCGCTCTGGTACTCTATTTATACGCGCTGCCATGATGTCATGTGGTTCTAATAAAAGTCCCAATGTGAGGGGTTAAAGTGACGCGCTTCAGTAAGGTGGACAGTCTTTGTATTTTACATTTGCAGTTAAAAAACGTAAATTTGTTTAACTTCTGACTGTTTTGTTAGTGTGAAAATGTGCATAAAACACCAGCCTAAAATCCACTTTCAGCACAACTCACCCAAAATAACAGTTAGAATAAAAAAAATTCATCTTTCACACGTCTGTCAGTTTCCCTGTGCATGTCTCCGGCTGGTTGTCGTTTGGATGTGTCAGAATCTCCAAGTCGTCGCTCCCCTGATAGGACTCGGTTTTGCAGAGCGACTGGCTGCTTTTGATGGAGTCACTCTCCCCCAAAGAGGGCAGCTTCTCCGGCTGTCCGCACGTCACGTGGATGTACTGAACGTTTTCCTCCTCTTCGTTCTCCCGATGGTAGAAATAGTTGAAATTGGACACGATGACAGGGACAGGTAGAGCGATGGTCAGCACTCCGGCGATGGCGCACAACGATCCGACGAATTTCCCCCCAATGGTGGTGGGAAACATATCTCCGTAGCCCACGGTGGTCATGGTCACCACAGCCCACCAAAACGCATCAGGGATGCTGGTAAACGCAGTATCGGGGTCCTCGACCTCGGCGAAAAAAACTGAGCTGGAGAACAGAATAACTCCAATGAGCAGGAAGAATATGAGCAGCCCCAGCTCCCTGAGGCTGGCGTGGAGGGTCTGGCCGAGGATCTGCAGGCCCTTGGAGTGTCTGGAAAGCTTAAAAATCCTGAAGACACGCACCAGACGGATGACCCTCAGGATGGCCAGTGAGGCAGCCTGCTGGCTGCTGCCCTGATGCTCCGCCAGATCCAGGCCCAGGGTGATGAAGTACGGCGCTATGGCCACGACGTCTATCAGGTTCATGATGTTCTTAAAGAAAGCTGCTTTGCTGGGGCAGGACAGGAACCTCATGGTGAACTCAAAGGAGAACCACACAATGCAGAGTGTCTCAACCATGAAGAAGGGGTCCGTGAAGGGACTGGGCTCCTTGCCCTGCGCACTGCCATTGGGGTGCGTCTCAGGCTCTGGGGGCACCTCTCGGAACTCAGGTAACGTTTCCAAGCAGAATATAACAATGGATATCAAGATGACCATCACTGACACAATGGCGATAGTCCGCGCGGGTCCCGAGCTCTCCGGATACTCGAACAGGAGCCACAACTGGCGCTGGAACTCGTTGGAAGGCAGTGGGCGCTCCTCCTCCTTGGACAAACCCTCGTCCTCTTTGTACGCTTGGATCACATCTTCGTCCAGTTCGTAAAACTTGATTTCCTCCAGGAAGATGTCCACGGGCACGCTCACAGGCCTCCTGAGCCGCCCGCCCGACTGGTAGTAGTAGAGGATGGCGTCGAAGCTTGGCCTGTTCCTATCAAAGAAATACTCGTTCCTTAGGGGGTCGAAGAAGCGCGTCCTCTTTCGCGGGTCCCCCAGGAGAGTGGTGGGGAAGCGAGCGAGGGTCTTCAGCTGAGTTTCGAAGCGCAGACCGGAGATGTTGACGACCACCCTCTCGCTGCACTCCTGCTCCGCTGGTTCCAGGTCGGCAGCATCTGGCAGCGAAGGAGGGACCACCACAGGCTCTTCATTGCCATCCTGGGACACCACGGTCATCTTCTTTAACCCCCTCTGAGGGCACAGTCCGTCACTCACCTCCTCTTCCTCCTGCCCTTTTGCCCGTGCGTCCTTCTAAATCTTTCTCTCATGCGCGCCTCCAAGTTAAAGCAGATCCACCCCCTCCGGCTTTGTTTCCCTCCTCCAGCTGTTGTGTACGTTTGTTAGGATCCAAAGTTGTTTGGTTGTTTGTTTACACCGCCCTCTTGTCAGATTAGAGCCTCCGAACTGACAACTTTCTACAGCGCGCACAGGTCTCCACTTGCATAAGGCTCCAGGAGGCTATCATATTCACACCGTTTTAAACTCCAGAGCCCTCCCCATGCTGGAGCGCCGGCTGACACTTGCTGCTGCTGTCCCTCTCAGAGACACTCGGTGTTTCCACAACACCTAATTCCAAACCAGTATTTCATCTGACAGGTTCTGTTGCTTTGCAAAAAAAATAAAAGGGAGGTGGGGGGAAACGCCTCAGATTTGTTTCATCTTTAACCCAATGGGAGCCCGAGTTGTTCTCAGCCCCATGGTCCACTCAGGAATGGAGCTCCTCTCTGCAGGTCCTTCATTCATGAAATTAAGTAGTTATTCTTGTCTCACAGGGGAACCTCCAGATTGTAAGCTGCAGCCCACCCTGTAGAAACCAAAAGGTGAATGGGATTAACAGATCCAGCTTGTTACAATGTTCTTGCCCCTCCTGGATGGTCGTGTGTCTGAGTGTTACCCAAAATATCTCATGAATCACCAGACGGATTTTAATGAAATTCTCAGAAGTTGAACACCGGTTGCACAACTGTAAAAGGTTAACATTTGGAGTCAATCCAATTCAAGATGGCCATCACAGCCAGCTGACCTGATCAAATATTCCACTAAAATTTGGTTTGTTTGTAGCTAAGAATCATTCACAACACAATAGGTACGACTCCTTACGCAATATCTTTGCTTAAAACTTTAGCAGAAACTCCTGTTAAAAGATTTTTGTTAGTCTGTGTGAAAATATTTCATCATCCAGCCAGTATTTCTTGGATGTACTTATAGCAGCTTATATGAAACTAAACAAGAAGTTTCCCTCAAGGTCTGACCCAAACGGCTGTAACTCCTGTCATCTCTCAACGTAATATGATCCTAAACTCTGAGATGAAAGGAAGGAGGTGACATGCAAACTTTCATGAAATGCTCGGTCTGTAAATAAGTAAAGTGAGTATATTTAACAGTTTTATGTGTTTTGAAAATAATTAGATAAAATAGTCTCTGAATCTCAGAGCCTTTCATAATGAGGGGTCGCCACAGACCAAGCCAGTGGAAAGTGCTGGCTTGACTGACACCTGAGTAGTGGGAGAGGACAGCGTCTTCATGAAGCCACAGCCAACATAACATACTTGCGCTGAAGGGCTCAGTTGTAAAACTTTGAACTCCAAATGCTTCAGCAAAACAACTTCAAAGTCGTTTTTAATAGTTTGATTCCTCGTTTGTTACCTCGGATTGACTGATTAAAAGGTTTTGAGATTTTTTTGCAGTATATATCCTGCATGCACCGAGAATAGCTCAGTTTTTCTGCACTTTCACTGCTTTAATAAAGCTGCGCGTCAGACGCCACAAGAGCACAACAATAATAGCTCAGGGGTGTTAATCAGTGGAACCAAAACCAATCTGGATGCTTTGCATTAATGAACAGATCCCAGCTAATCACAGAGAGTTATTTTTTGCTGTCCGATTTAAATGGACAGAATCTCTGAGAAGCATGGTGTGCGTGTGTGGGTGTGTTTGTGTATATGTTTTTGTTACCTGATGGGGACAGTGTTTGACCCTTTCTGTTCCTTATGGGGACAAAAGCCTGGTCCCTATCAGGGGAAATACACTTGATAGGTCAGGGTTTAGTTAGGAAAAATGTGTGAATTGAGTTTAGGCTAGGTTTGGGTGTGTACCTATGAGGTTAGGTTTAGAGTAAGGGTTCAGGGTTAGGCTATAGAAATTAACTGAAGTCAATGCGATGTTCCTATAAAGATATCTGTACTAGACCGTGCATGTTTGTGTGTGTTTGTGTTATTATGTCCATGACTGAACAGAGTACAGGACCTTAAAGTTAAAGATCAGATCCAGCACTCTGTGCCACCTGCTGTGCTAATGCTAATGTTAGCTTATAGCCAGCACCATATGTCTGTCTGAGTCAGGCAGAAGTGTCAGGTCCTGACTGTATCCACAGCAACAAACAGAAACAAACAAGCTCACACACTGACACGTGACTCTGATACTTATAGAAGCTCCTAAAGATAAAAAAATAAAAGTGTGAGGTAGTGAGCAGGATGACCCCCCCCCAACCACCCCCCACACTCCCCACACACACAAATGTATTAATATAAGATCAACTTTCAGACAGTTTACTGAAATTCTTCTCATTTTTTTACTGAAATTCTTCACAATTTAGTGCTTAGCTCCATCTTTGTATCGTATTTGTTGTATGTTAAATTCCCTGTCTTAATGTTACTGTCAGAGTTGTATAGTAACTAAGTACATTTACTTCATCTTAATACTTTACTTTAGTATTTTTAGGGGTCCAAGCCCGAGGAAGCAGGGTAACGCAGCTGCAAAGCAGCAGCGTTTCCATGTCTCCATCGGAGCATGGAACCCTATTGTA